AGGATGATGGGGAGGAGCAGAGCAGGAGATGGATAGGATGATGGGGAGGAGCGGAGCAGGAGATGGATAGGATGATGGGGAGGAGGGCCAGAGTAAGAGATGGATAGGATGATGGAAGGTGAATGATGATGGAAGTCAGAAATAACCATGTACTGCTTTGTTTTCACACGCATATAGAAATATGTCCTGTTGGAAATTCCACAAATCGATGACATTCTCAACAGTGTGCTTGCCTGAATTTGAGTTACATGTAGGGCAGGAATGCATGCTGTTTAGTATCAGCAGGAAGTCTCATGAAACCCACTTGAAAAAGTGAGAAAATGGTCTGTAACAATAAATGACTCCCTCTGCAAAAATTGACTCTCAAAGGAGCATCTGGAGAAAATTGCGGCCATTGCTGAGGCGCACAGGTTGTACAAGGGAGACGATGCCCAACGCGATCGCATCAATGCCAAACTCGCCCTGGAAAGTTTCGCCTATGCAATGAATGCCATTTTCCAAAATGAGAATCTGAAGGACAAGATCAGCTCCGAGGACAAGCAGACCATCTTGGATAAATGCAAGGAGGTCTTTGACTGGCTCAATAGCAACCAGGTAAGCCAGAGAAATCTGAAAACGCAATTTTTTTGAAGTGGCTGTATATAAACATACGGCCGACTTGCTGCGCTTTGTATTTGAAAGAATGTCAACAGACAACTTGAGGAAAGTTTTGATAGATGGGGGAATTCCCTGAAGTGAAAAAAGAGGATTAATTAAAACACACAAAAAATCAGTGTCTCATCAAGCTACCTGTCCTCTTGTCTTGAGGCAAAACACAACTTTTCACAGGTAGTTTTTGCTTGTTCCAACTTTGCAAACCTCTCAGCACTATTTAACAAATCTTTCATTCCAACAAAAAATGGTTACAGTGGAAATATGGCCTCAAACAGTACCAAGTGGTGTCAGTTTGGTAAAAAAAATTCCTGGCAGAGAGCAGGCAGTTTTGCCTTGGCTAGGAAGGGACGGGCAGATATTTCAATTCTTGAATCCTGCTAGAAATATGCTCTGATGAATCTCCTACCCGGACAAACAGCAGGGAACAATTCAACTTCCCCACTGGCCAATAAAATTTGTTAATAGTTTTCCCACAATGCAGGGTGGGGAAAAAAAGAGCCTCTCTGTGGCAACTTTGGGATGGTGCATTGTATTGTGAAGTGCCTTGAGTCTTGCAGAAGTTGCCAAATAGAAAAAGATGAGGGAGAGGGGTTGTTTAGAACCAACAAATATATATTCAGGAAGTGTGCCTTGATCTCAGGAGGAATGCTTCTGTTGTCATGATGGCCAGTGTCATGTAGCTGCAACAAATTGGCTCAGCATAGATATAATTACTTGCTAAACATAGATAACCAGATGAAGGCTTCACACAGTGTACATGCAGTGCTTGGCACTGGCTGTCCACCATTGTCCACTGACGTTTTTTGTGCAGCACATCTTCCAATATTTGTTCTGAGCAGCTCAACGAAATCAGGCCCATGCTTTCCCCGTTTGAATGCTATTGCTTTAACCAACTTTTGAAGACATAATTCTGTACATGTTGGAACTGCAGTACACAAATTGTCCAGACGAATTGCTCCTTTTTCAAGGGAGTAATAAAGGAAACTGTACTGTGCAAGCTTTATGTAACTGTTACCATTCGGGAGAGAATTTATGCCCTAGCTTTTGGCTAATACAAGCCCTGAAACGTCAAAGTGTGTTTGTTGTGATAGGTGGATTTGTCTTCATCCCACCAATCTCACCTCTGACATCCTTTTGGATCATAGGTGGCAGAGAAGGAAGAGTTTGAGGGTCGCCAAAGGGAGCTGGAAGAAATCTGCAATTCCATCTTAACTAAGTAGGAAGCCGGTAGCGGAGGACCTATTTACAGTACTGAGAAGGTTGACTAAATAAGACTTGAAGGTTTTCATGGTGAAAGAACTATATGAGTAAAACGATTGTGGTTACACCATGGACCAGTCTCTTTCTTGAGTATGTGTGGTTCAGAGAAGAACCGAGGAATAACTCGACGCTTCGAAAAGTGTACTCTGTCCATCTCTACACCATATAAACTCCACTCCCAGTCAGAATCCTGCAGTCTCCTGAAGACGGACAGAGTGCACTGTTCGAAACGTCGAGTTACTCCCCGGTTCTTCTCAGAACCACACATATTCAAGAAAAAGATTGATCCATGGTGTAACTGCAATCGTTTTACTCAAGGTTGACGAAACACGACAAAAGGCCCACAAAAAAGGGAAGCATTTATGCTCAGAATCAATCATTAAATTGTACGTCGTTCAATGTAGCATGATTAAAGAGGAATGGAAAAAATTTTAAACTCCCACTCTTTGTTATCGATTTTCCCATGGCCATATTTACGAGTCGGCCGTCTTGAATCAAAAGCGAGGCAATTCATCCTCATGAATAGTATCTAAAAACTTAATGTGTTTTGGAAGAACAAGGGAATAAAGACAATTCTTTTGGGGCAAGTTATACATTACCATCCTTTGCGCTTTGATGAGTAGCTCCATGTTACGGATTAAATGTCATGTTACCTTCCTAACATTAAGAAATTTCTTGCCATAGTGTCAGAAAGTGGGTAAGAAATTTGTTCGACCTGAAGAAACAAAAGTTTCTTTTAAATGAGTTGTTGAGGTGCTGAATTCTGCAGTACAAAAATAAGAAAGTGCCAAAGTATATTTGAGAATTAATTTATCAAAAACTGACCCATTTCAACTCGTAATACCTTTTTGCTTGCTTTAACTAAATTGTCATCGAGTTTAAAACCAAGACTTTCTCCTTTTGTCGATCTTACTGAAATACTGTAGCGCCGGCGGGCCGGCCGGTGGGGGTGCCAGCTCGGACCCGCAGGGGTCTAGCTGGCTGCCCCCGCTGGTATGCGAACGGCCCGCGGTTTTCCCGCCTCGCGCCTGCGCAGTCCCTGCCGAGACGCTTCATGTCTAGAGCTTTTTGGATCGACATGGAGTTGTACGTTAGAGAAATAAAACCAAGATTTCTTGGTCAGAACGGCGATTTGTGGCTAGCTGTGTGTGTCTGTATAAGCGTCAGAACCCTATCAATAGGACAAGCTACAACTTGTGGCAGCGGTGGGATGCTGGATACAGGAAAAGCAGGTAAACTTTTCGCATTCTCTGTGCCATGATTTGGGTCGAGTGCCGGACTCGCTGGACAGCGGCAGCACAGGCCAGCACACGGCCTTGCTGTCGGGGGCCCAGACTGCAAAGGCGACGTGGAACTCGCCTAGGTTGGTGAGCGAGCTGGAGTCGTTCCTCGCGGAGAATCTGGAACAGTTATCCAGGAGCGGGGGGCGAAAATTGGAGGGCATCGAGTTCATCAAGTGCGCGGCGTGGGAGGATTTTGGGTTAGGTTCCCTGGAGAATACAGCCACGCCTGTGCAGTCCCCGGGCGACTTCCCTACTCCCAAAGTCGATGGGGCGAGGAAGGTGCGGTTCCAATTGGAGCACGGCCATTTCGCCCCAGTCACTGAGGAGGGGGCGGGGCAGCGCCCGGCGACATCCCCCAACCCCTCACTGGTACACCCTTCACCGGGGCACCCCCTGGCGGCGGGGGCACACTGGGAGAGGCGTTCCAGTCGGAGCGTCCTCAGGGTGGGTCCGCGGCTGGGGGGTCCCGTCGGGAGCCAGTTGGAAATTCATTCATGTTTTGTGGTAGCGTCGGGGCGCCCTCTCACGGTACCGTCGTGGCCGAAAGAACGTTCCTCTTGGAGTGCGGCCGGGCGGCTGCCGCGGGGTTGGAGCCTCGGCGCGAGGTAGCTGAAGCTGGTAATACTGGTTATAGTATGGGGGCGCCCTCTTGCGGCGCCGCGGTGGCTCAGGAAGCGTCCCTCTCAGAGCGTGGCCGGGGGCCCGGTGTGAATTGATGGGAGCGAGCAGGCCCGTTGCAGATTTCGGGGCACCCTCGCGCGCCGGGGACGTGGCTGGTGTGGCATACCGCCTGGAGCGCTGCGAGGCCGTGGCCACGGTCCTCGGGAGGCGGTTTCGAGACGGGCTAGCTGGAGTGTGTGAGATAAATAGTGAGATGCGGGCGCCCCCACGCCGCGAAACTGCGACGGGTGGCGTGATTGAGGCGGATCCCTCTCAGATCCACACACAGACACGCGAGGCGGATCCCCCTCAGATCCGCGTACAAGCTTATGAGGCGGATCCCCACTTGGGTCCGCACACAGACATACGAGGCGGATCCCCGTGCAGGGGAGCCGATCAGACGAACCGAAGACCGATGCTACTTCCGGACCGGTATGAAAGACGCTCGTCCTGGGCGGATTACCTCACGCACTTCGAGAGTGTGGCCACCGTCAATAGATGGAGCAAGGCCGAGAAGGCAGAGTACGTGGCCTCCTATCTGCGTGGACTGGCCCAGGAGGCATTCACCGACTTGTCGCCGGAGGCGCGGAGGGACTACGTGAGCGTCCTGGAACACTTCGAGCGGCGGTTTGGAGTTGCTTTGCAGGTGCCGCTCCATCGGGCTCAACTTTCCATGCGGGTGCGCGGTCGGGGAGAGTCCCTAGAGGAACTGGGGAGGTCCATCCGACGGTTAGTCCTCCGGAGTTACCCAACCTTGCCCACAGAGGGGCGTGAAGGTCTGGCGGTGGAGGCCTTCCGGAACGCCCTGGTGGACGAACAATTGCAGCGCCATGTCTTCGCAAGAAAGGCCACGACCCTGGCAGAGGCGATTACCCTGGCCACGGAGATGGAGGCCTTTTTGGAGTTCCAGGCCCATCAACGGAAGGGTAGGATCGGGGCCAAGCAGGTCCGGGTGGTCGAAGAACCCTCCGCAGGTACGCCGTTCAATGCGGGTGGAGACCCACCCTCGCGGGTCCGGTGCTACGGATGCCGCGAGTATGGGCATTTCCGCCGGGATTGCCCACGCGGGAAGGGCTGCACCGTCCTGGGCTGGCTGCCGGCGGAGCCAGTCTCGACGGCGCCGCCGGGGCCGGCCCCTCCTGTGTCGGCTGCGACAGCCGACATGGACGGAGAGGAAGATGACTCGATTTTGGACTGGTCTCCTGAGGTCTGGGACCCGAGCAAGCTAGTTCAGGAGCAGCAGGACGACCCAGAGCTGGGACAGGTTCGCCAGTGGGTGGTGGTGGGGAGCGACTGGTTTGATTGGGAGGACATCTCCGACCTCGGCGCCGGGGTCAAAAGCTGGTGGTCCAGATGGGACACACTGCGCCTATTCCAAGGAGTTTTGCAGGTGAAGTGGGCGACGACCGACGGGGGGCCGCCCACCTGGAAGATTGCCGTCCCGCAGGGTGGCCGAGGTTCTACTTCTTGCCCACAATCACCGAACTGCTGGACACCTCGGGGTCGCTCGGACTGTGGTCCAACTCAGGCAGGCTCCTGTGTATTGGAGGTAGGTGAGACGGCAGGCCGAGGAGTGGTGCCAGAAGTGTCATCTCTGCGGTTCTAAGAAGTCCCCGCCGTGTCCCGGGAGAGTTCCGCTCCGACAATACCTGGTGGGGGCCCCATGGAGCGGATCGCCATTGACCTCACCGAACGCCTGCCCCGAACCAAGGCCGGGAACACCAGCATAATGGTAGTGGCGGACTATTTCACGAAGTGGGTGGGAGGAGTTTCCCCTTCCGGATCAGACGGCCTAGACCGTGGCCAAGACCCTCGTGGAGCAGGTGATCACGCGCTTCGGGACACCCCTCGAGATCCACACGGATCAAGGGCGGGAGTTCGAGGCGGGCCTGTTCCGCAGGGTCTGCCAGCTGTTGAGCATCCACAAGACCAGGACGACTCCGTTCCACCTCCAGTCCGACGGCATGGTC